CATGGGGACACCACGGGGACACCATGGGGATCATGGGGACACCACGGGGATCATGGGGACACCACAGGGATCATGGGGACAGCACCAGGACAGCACGGGGACACCATGGGGATCATGGGGACACCACGGGGATCATGGGGACACCACAGGGATCATGGGGACAGCACTAGGACACCATGGGGACACCACAGGAACTATGGGAACACCATGGGGATCATGGGAACACCTCAGGGACACCACAGGAACCATGGGGACAACCATGGGGACACCACAGGAACTATGGGGACACCACGGAAACCACGGGGACACCACAGAGACATCGTGGGGACACCACAGAGACACCACAGGAACCGTGGCGACATCATGGGAACACCACAGTTACACCACGGGAACCATGGGGACACCTCAGGGACACCACGGGAACCATGGGGACACCACGGGAACCATGGGGACACCACAGTTACACCACAGTTACACCACATCACCCACAGGACCCCCTGCCCCACGCTGACCAACACCCTGTGGCTCTGTCCTGCCTAAGTCACCTCGCTCTGGCCTCACTGATAAAATCTCAGGACACTTGGAGCAATCTGCAGCAACACCAGCTTTCTCCAGCTTTAATTAACTTAATTAACCCATAATTACCACCCAGCTCCCAGCTGGAGAAGCAGAGATCCCTTAGTTTAGATAAGAACCGTCGGGGTTTAGATAACAACCCCCAGCCCTTGGGAACAGCAGGATTGCTTCTGGGGCTGGAGGAGCCTTTCCCTGGTTTAAAGAGGAGCTTTTTCCTGGTTTAAGGAAGTTCCCTGGTTTAAAGAGGAGCTTTTTCCTGGTTTAAGGAAGAGCCTTTTCCTGGTTTAAGGAAGGGCTTTTTCCTGTTTAAGGAAGGGCTTTTTCCTGGTTTAAAGAGGAGCCTTTTCCTGGTTTAAGGAAGAGCTTTTTCCTGGTTTAAGGAAAAGCTTTTTCCTGGTTTAAAGAGGAGCCTTTTCCTGGTTTAAGGAAGGGCTTTTTCCCAGTTTAAGGAAGAGCTTTTTCCTGGTCTAAGGAAGAGCCTTTTCCCAGTTTAAACAGGAACCTTTTCCCAGTCTAAGGAGGAGCCTTTCCCCAGTTTAAAGAGGAGCCTTTCCCCAGTTTAAAGAGGAGCCTTTCCCCAGTTTAAGGATTTAAGGATTCCCAGTTTAAAGAGGAGCCTTTCCCCAGTCTAAAGATGATCTTTTCCCCAGTTTAAGGATGAGCCTTTCCCCAGTTTAAGGATTTAAGGATCCCTGGTTTCAGGATGAGGTTTTCCCCAGTTTAAGGATTTAAGGATCCCCGGTTTCAGGATGAGGCTTTCCCCAGTTTAAGGATTTAAGGATCCCCAGTTTCAGGATGAGCCTTTCCCGGCTGCAGGAGCCCAGCCTCACCCTGGGAGCTCTGGCTGAGCCTGGCGGAGGAGCGGGTGACGCGGGCGGATCTCCGGGAGGTGCCGTCGCTCTCGGAGCTGTCCGTGTGCTCGGGATCCGTGGAGAAATCCG